ATAGATAGATGGGTTGATCTCTGGATTCTCAATTCGATTCCATTGATCTATGTGTCTGTCATTGTACCAGTACCATGCTGTCTTTACCACTAAGGCAGTGTAGTAGGATTTGAAATCAGGGAGTGAGATACCTCCTACTGTTCTTCTATTCTTAAGGAGTGCTTTGCTTATTCGGGGCTAGAAAAAGTTGTTTTGTAAAATCTTTCTATATGCAGTTATTGTTATTTTCCACAATATTATTAATACTTAAGCAGAAGACTTTTAACATTTATCCTATTTTCCTTTAATTAGGAGGTCTGGTGGAGTAGTGGGTTAGGTATTGGACTGCTAAAGGAAGGGTAGAGAGCCGCTCTTGATGGGGAAGGTGAGGCAATCTGCTTGCATAAAGATTTTCTGGATTAGCTGCTCAACTCCCTGTGGATTAAGGCATCAGTTTTAATCTGTCCTATACAGTTAATTTGGGACAGAGTTTGTCAGAGATTGTGAGGAAGGCACAGGGCAGGATAGGGTTCAGATCTGTTATTCATTGGGTCGCTGTGAATGGTATTCAACTTGATGAAATTTAACAATAATTGTCAGAGTCAACAGCAGTGGAGATTCCTGTAATAATGTATTCTTAAAAAAGTTACTCATATAGGCTTATAAATACTAATTATCACACTATTATAGCGGAAATATCAAGACATTTCACAAGGGACTGGAAAGTTCTATGCTAAGTGAGCTAACTTAATCCCCTAAGGACAAACACTGTATAAAACCATTATTGTAGAAAAAGATAACTAGTAAAATGTTTATCCGAAGGGGGAGGGTAGAAGCAGAGGGGTGAGGATGTGGGGAAGGAGTAGTTATAGGTTCATACAATTTGATGGGTAGAGGGAAGGGTGGGTAATGGGTAAAGGAAATGGGAAAGAGCCTGTGTGAAAAACAGTGTATAAGAACTTTATCAGTAAATCAGTGAAGAATAAATATTTTTTAATTTTTTTACACTTTTTAAAATTTATTATTAATTTCAATGAAAATTTACAGAGACTTTGGATTTCCATTCATTCACTGTTGCACTTTTCTTTCCTCCCAACCCTCCCCCCTAGTACACTACCCTATTGGAAAAGTAAAAGAAAAATTCTTTCATTGTTTTACCATTTCATTGTTATCCATACCCTTAGGTCCACTCCACTGTGCAGCCTTCACTCTGGACTCCCGTCATGACAAAAATACTTAATCTTACATCCTTTTTATATGGTTTTCTCCCTCATCTGTTTCAATGAAGCGTACATTATTTAACCCATCTTTCTCAGACTCCCCCCAACCCACCGATGTCAGTCCTGTTTTACAAGTGGCACCATGCAGTATTTGTCCTTTAGTGACTGAGATACTTCACTCAGCATAATGTCCTCCAGGGTCACCCATTTTAAATAATATTGCATGAGTTCCTTGTTTTTCAATGCAGCATAGTATTCCCTTGTGTGAATATACCACAGCTTCTCTATCCATTCATTTAATGATGGGCACTTAGGTTTTTTCCAAGTCCTTACTATGGTGAACAAAGCTGTGATAAACATGGGTGTGCATAAAATAAATATTTTATTAAAAAAATTTTACAACGTCAGCGACTATAAACACACCTCTCTGATAGCCTCATAGTAAAGAGCTGTTGTCAGCTCCAAAGGCCATGCCTGTCTGGTGGTTAGAAGCCATCGTGGCCAGAAAGATGGAAAATCACCTTCTGTGCGATTTACTTCCACTCAAACCTCACTGGAAGGTAGCTAGAAGTCAGTTCCGAGTGGATGGCAATGAATTTTGAGTTAGCTTGCAGTCCAGGAAAATCATTGATTCTAAGTAAGTGGATGATAAAGACATTATCATCATTATTATTCTGATTGGAACACATTAAAAGGTTCAGAAAGTGAATTAGCACTAGAACTGGACAATGACTAGTGATGATAGAAGGAGAATTGATGCCTTTGAGCTGTGTTGTTGGAGAAGAGTATTGACTATACTGTGGATTGCTAAGAGAATGAAAAGTTTCACCCTAGAGAGGGTTAAACCAGGCTGCTCCTTGAAGTCAAGGATTCTGAAGCTTCCTCTGACATACTTTGGACATGTTGCAAGGTGGGACCAGACCTTGGAGAAGGGATGTTGTGCTTGGGAGGGTGGAGGAACAGCAAAGTAGAGGAAAGCCCTCAAATAGATGGATTGATACAGTGACTGGGGTAATGGGAGTAAGTGTATCAAGACATTAAGACTGGCACAGGATAGAGCCGGTTTTAGAGATGTTGTACATACGGTTGCTATGAATCTCAGGCAACTCGACAGCACATAACAACAACATCATTTATACTAGAAAGATTGGCTTACAAAAAATGTTTGTTTTTAAGCAATTACAGGTATATATTTTTTAAAAAAACTTTATTTTTTTTGTGTGTGTGTACTGTCAAATATTGTAGCTGATGTTAGATGGATCTTAGCTGAAAGCAGGGAATACCAGAAGAATGTATATCTGTGTTTCATTGATTATGCAAAGGCATTTGACTGTGTGGATCATAACAAACTGTGGCTGACTCTGAGAAGAATGGGAATCCCAGACATTTAATCGTGCTAATGCGAAACCTAGACTAGGACCAAGAGGCAGTCGTCAGGACAGAGCAGAGTAACACTGCATGGTTCAAAATTGGAAAGGGTGTACGCCAGGGATGTGTCCTATCTCCATACCTTTCAGAGCAGATTATCCGGGCGGCTGGACTCTATGAGAAGTGTGGCGTCAGGATTGGTGGAAGATCTATTAACAATCTGCGTTATGCAGATGACAGAACCCTGCTTGCTGACACTGAGGAGGACCTCATGCACTTGCTGCAGAGGGTCAAGGACTGCAGCCTTCAGTATGGACTGAGGCTCAATTTCAAAAAGACAAAGATTCTCAGCACTGGACCAATTGGTAGCATCAGGATGGATGGCGAAGAGATTAAGATTATTCACAGCTTCAGTTTGCTCGGCTCCAAGAGCAACACTCTTGGCACCAGCAGCCAGGAAATAAAAAAATGTATTGTGATAGGAAAGTCTGCTGTTAGGGACCTCTCTAAAGTACTCAAGAGCAACGGTGTCTCTCTGGAGACTAAGGTGTGCCTGATACAGGCCATGGTCTTTGCAATTACTTGTTATGCATCAGAGAGTTGGACAATGACTAGGGAGGACAGAAGGAGAATTGATGCCTTTGAGCTGTGGTGCTGGAGAAGAGTATTGAATGTACCATGGACTGCCAAGAAAACAGATTCATCCTGGAGAGGATCAAACCAAGCTACTCCTTGGAGGCAAGGATTCTGGGGCTTCGTGTGACATATTTTGGACATCTTGTAAGGAGAGACCGGTCCTTGGAGAGGGACATCATGCTTGGTAGGGTGGAGGGATGGCGCAAGAGGGCAAGACCCTTTATGAGGTGGATTGATTCAATGACTGGGGCAATCGGGATGGGTGTGTCAGAGGCAATGCGATTGGCACAGGATAGAACAGGGTTTCGGGCTGTTGTACATAGGGTCGCTATGAGTTGCAAATGACTCGACGGCACATAACAACAACAACAACAATAACAATAAACGTGAAATTGGATCTGACTGGTACAGGAGGAGATTACCTCTCCTTCTCCAGCAGAGCATCTGCTGGATTCCAACTGCATACTTCTAGGATTGCAGTGTAGCTTCTTGCCACTAGGCCACCAGAGGTTCACAGGTATATTTTTATAATAATAAATTTCTGCTGAAACTTTGCAAAAGAATTAAAGTCTATTAGTTTGGTGTCATCTCATCCGACAGGGTCACCAGGCGTGGTCAGCCCACCCACACTGTTAAGTGACTACTGCTGCTGGGGTGCTCAGTCCAATGGTCAAAGTTTGCCCAGTGCTGACCACACCCGAACTCAAAGCGAGTTCCTGCTTCCCAACGTCCGGCGAGGACAGAGTTAACCAAAGGCTCCTCCCACAGGGGAGGAGCCAAAGTGGAGAGCGCCTCGGCTGCCGCGATGCCCCCCCCATCAGCGTTAGTGCGCATGTGCGCCGCGCTGGGGGGACGGGGTCGGACTCCGCAATGGCGGCCTGCATGTTCTACTGCAAGCTATTGGCTTCCGCTGCCCTTCGGAACCATGGCGCTAGGACAACGCTACGGGCCGCCACCCAGGTACTATGGATCAGCCTTCTCTGTCGTTGAGAGGCGGCAAAAAAAAGGGGTGAGGTGGGGGAGCTGGCGATTATGGGCGAGGTGTCAGTTCTCTTGTGGTGACATTTCTCGGGTGCCCTGGTCGGCTTACGGGCGACTTGCCCGGAGTGCTGGTTCCTGGAGCGAGCGGGCCTCTGCCTGTGCCTCTCTCCTCCCGTCTGAGGAGCCCTTGCCGTGCCCCGCGGCTCCCCGGCGGCTCCCGAGGGGCCTCTTGGGCTCCGGGGGGAGGTCGGGGCCAGAGCCCTCAGTGGGGATGGGAGAATGCCCTTCACTTGCACTCTGCTGCCCCCCGGGAGCTGTCACAGATGTGAGTGACTTCCAAGGACCTGGAGTCCTAGCTGACTTTTCTCGGGGAGGCAGGACAATGGCTTTTCCACAAGTAGTTGCGAACTGCGTTGTTTTTAGAGTGCCTGGTGATGGGGTGCTTCTCAGCATAGTGAGTAGGGAAGTTAAGGATGTCATCTTAAGGATCACTTCCTTTTTTGCATAGAACATAGAAGAATAGCCACAGGTTTGGTGTCTTGTTTTTGAAGCGCTTTGATTGTCATCATCCCATTGAGATTGTTCAGCTACCTGATAAAGGAGTCCTTAACCCCATAAATGAGCAAGTTGTCCCAATCAGACCATATCATTTGGGACAGGTCACCTAAGGTCGAAGCTGAGGTTTCATTGCAGAACTCTCCTAAGCCCAGGTCAGCTGTACAACTTCTTCAGGATTGGCCCGTTTCCCCAGCTGTTGACACCTAGAACTTGTGGAGGGCAACAGAAGTTTTATGGTGCCCTGGGAGCTAACGTCCCAGATGTTAATTTATTAATGGGTACTGATTTTTGAAAAACAAGCTAGCCTTAATTTCAGCCCAGAGGTACATGAGTTCTGTGAATTGGCATCTCGCAAAAGCTAATTGGTTTTTTTTTTTTTAGCTTTGAATTTTTTCTTAAACATTTTAAAGGATGGGGAATTGGCGAACAGATATATTTTCATTATAAGTTTCATTTCTTTTCTGAAATAAAAAACAAGACCACAAATCAAAACCTCATTGCTATGGAGTTTGGACTGTCTCAGAAGGGGGCCTTCCAGTGGTTTTTGACAGGTTGTAAATTGCACAGGTACCCTTTCAGGGTAGCTGGTGAATTAGAACTGTCAAGAGGCTTGACCTTTGGATTAGCAGTCTCATTACCTATGGACTATGCAGTCAGAGGTTCCTTTATTCCTTTTGAAATGATTAAAAGTCTTTGTACCTTCATATGGAAATGTCAGGTAGTCAAATACTGCTTTTGTGGATGAGGACACAGCAGAGTTGAGGAAATTTCTTCTGGACACACTTTGAGTTTAGAAAGTTAGTTTAGTGTAATTCTCAGAATCTTACAGTTTCTAACCTTATTAGAGTGTGTCTTTGATGAAAAGATATTTTGCAAGCAGATTAAATTGCTAAGAGTTTTTAAAAAATTGTCGTGTCTCACATTCCTCAGTAATCTTACGCTTTGAAGAAGTGATTGTTCCTAATATTTTGGTAGAAATTATAAAAAATAAAATGCAAAAAATAACAAACATCTATCTTAGAAGAAGTACAGCCAGAATATTCCTTAGAAGCAAAACTTTTGATTTTGTTTTACATAGTTGTCAGGAGGAGCCAGTGCTTGGAAAGGGGCATTATGTGTGGAGAAATAGAAGGTAAACTAAAGAGGAAGACCCTTAATGAGATAGATTGATACAGTGGTTGCAACAATGAATTTAAGCACACTACATAGTGAGGATGGTGACAGGACTGGACAGAGTTACCATGAATCAGCTTGACACTTGCAGCACCAACATTATTCATAATACTTGTTTTGGCAATGAAGGAATTTTAGCGAGGAATAAGTGACTAGGAATAGGATGCAACCCTGGATGGGTTCATCAGTTTCTGCCAACAAATATACAAAACTGCTCCCTGGCCAACTGACTAGAAGTTGATCCAGCAAACTGGAAATTATCAAACAATGTAATTAATATGACATGCGGGTAAAATCCAGGGAACTGCCAGAAATTCAAACTGAGTTCAGAAGAGACTATGGTACCAGGGCTATAATTGCTGACTGATGTCAGATGGATCTTGGCAGAAAGCAGAGAGTGCCAGCAGAATGTCTACTTGTCTTTTAGTGACTATGCAAAGATATTTGACTGTGTAGATCATAAGAAATTATGGCTAACACTTCTGAGAAGAATGGGAATCCCAGAACACTAAATTGTGCTCCTACCAAACCTACACTTACACCAAGAAGCAGTTGCTAGACAGCACAGAACACTGCATGTTTTAAGATTGGAAAAATATGCACAGGGTTGTCTCCTTTCTCTATTCCTATTTAGGCTGTATGCTGAGAAAATAATTTGAGAAGTTTGATTGTGTCAAGAAAAATATGCTACCATATTTGGAGAAAGACTCATCAACAACTTATGCTATTCAGATGTTATGGCCTTACTTGCAGAAAGTAGAAGATATTTGAAGCACTTGCTGCAGAAGATCAAAGACTACAGTCATCACTCTGGATTAAATGACAGCATCAGAAAAACAAAAATCCTCCCTCTTGGATCAATAGGCAACATCTTGATAAAAGGAGAAAATGTTGATGTTGTCAAGGATTTAGTTTTATTTGGATCCACAATCAATACTTTTGGTAGCAGCAGTCAAGAAATAAAAAGATGTGTTGCTCTGGGGATATCTGTTTTCAAGGAACTCTCCAGAATGCTAAAGAGCAAGGATATGGGTATAAAGACTAAGGTGCACCTCATCCAAGCCATACTATTTTTAGTTATTTGCTATGCATCTGAAAGTTGGACAATGAATAAAGAAACCTGAGGGAAAAGAATTCTTGCCTTTGAATTGTCCTGTTGGACCAAAGTATTGAATATACTGTGGATTGCCAAAAGAACAAATCTGTCTTGAAAGAAAGAAGTACAGCCAGATTGCTCCTTAGAGGCAAGGATGGTGAAATTTCATCTTTCTTACTTTGGGCATATTTTCAAGAGGAACTTGTCCTTGAGCAAAGACATCATGCTGAGAAAGGTAGAAGGTCAGTCAGAAAGAGAAAAAAGACTTTCAGTGAGATGGATTGACACAGTGATTGTCACAGTGGACTTGAGCATGACAGTGATTGTAAGGATAGAATAAGATAGGACAGGGTTCAGATTTGTTGTTATGTGGTTGCTGTGGAGCAAAATAGATTCCAAAGTACTTAGCAACAAAAAGGGTGTTGTGATAGGAGTCATCATCGCCTTCTTTTCTTTTTTTTTTTCTTTTAAATTAATTTTAATCAAAGTTTACAGAGACTTAGGGTTTCTATTAATTTACTGTTGCACTTTTCTCCCTGCCCATTCCTCCCCCCCAATTCGCTCTTCCATTTGAAAGATGTGAGTCTTCTAAATGGTACTATCAAGAAAGAAATATTTTAAGTTTGAGAACCTTGGAATTGTTCAACAGTAAAAGTTGGAAATTCAAATAATAACAGTTCTCAGCTGATAATTTTTCATAGTATGACTTCTGATGGTACAAGAAGGGAAATATCAAAGTACTTAAGGTATTAAAAAGTTTCTATCTTGTTAGAAAAGCCATGAGTAATAGCTTATGAATAATAATGGTTTTGAAAGAAGCTATAAAATCTTGAATTTTAGGTCAAGCTTACCTGTGACCTTGTGAAAGAAAAAGTCTAGTTGGTATAATTGTTGGAAACAAAATGTCACCTAACATCTGTATTGTTTGTTGTTGTTATGTGCCATCGAGTTGCTTGTGACTCATAGTGACCCTATGTACAACAGCTCTGAACCTTGCTGTATCTTGAACCAACCTCAGTGTCTCCCCAGTCACTGAGTCAATCCCTCTCATCCAGGGTCATCCCTCTGTGCTTTCCCTCCTCCTTTCCAAGCATGATGTCTTTCTCCAAGGACTGGTCCTTCCTTGCAACATGAGCAAAGTATATCAGATGAAGCTTTAAAATCCTTGCATCCAAATAGCTGCTTGGTTTCACCCTTTCTAGGATAAACCTGTCTATTCCCCTAACAGTTGTGGTATTTTCAACACCTCTGTTGCCTTCACCTAAATATGTTAACATTTGGCCACAGTTGATTTATTTTAAAAAATTGTCTGTTTATAAAATGAAATACATTATTTTTACTACTGCCTTTTTAAAAATCTTTTCTTATTTATTTTATTTTTATTATTTTGTGTGCGTGTACCGTCAAATTGGATCTGATTGGTACAGGAGGAGATTGTCCCTCCTCCAGCAGAGCATCTGGTGAATTCAATCTGCGCACCTCTGGGATTGCAGTGCAGCTTCTTGACCAGAGCTCCTACTGCTGCCTTTTGAAAAGAAATTATAATTGCTATGACTCTTCTTCCTGAGATATTTCTTTATATATCTCATATCTATCTCTATCTCATCTATCTTTAGAACAGAAACATTCTTCTAGGTAGTCATAACATAGACATCATAGTTAGGAAATTTAACATTGACTAAATAAATAAATGAATATTTAGGAAGTTCTAATGGTTTAGTGGTAAGGAGTTGCTCTGCCGGGTCATGCCTGCTCTAACGCAAGCAGTTCAAATTTACCAGCTGCTCTATGGAAGAAAGAGGAACAGTCAACTCCTGTGTGATTTATTGTTGTTGTTAAGGTGTCATCAAGTTTGACTCCTAACGATCTGAACCTTGGATAACAGATTGTTGAGCAGTTTCCCCCAATCCTGTTCACACATTCTTCTTCATAGGGTCCAGCTTCTTGAACGATTTGCTCGGTATATAGATTGAATAGGCAGGGAGAAAGGATACAATGATGATGCACACCTTTCCTGATTTTAAACTATGCAGTGTTTCCTTGCTTTGTTCAGACAGCAGCTTCTAGGTACAGGTTTCATATGAGCATAATTAAGTATTCTGAGATTCCCATTTTGGTCAGAGTCAGCCATAGCTTGTTGTGATCCACATAGTCAAAAGCCTTTGCATAGTCAATGAGGCACAGATAGACATTCTTCTGGTATTTTCTACTTTCAGCCATTATCCATCTGACAACAGTAGTAATATCCTTATTGCCACAATGTCTTCAAACCTGGCTTATGGCAGTTCTTTGTCAGTGTACTGCTCTGTTTTTGGATGATCTTCAGCAATATTTTGCGTGCATTGTTATTTTTATTATTGTTAGGTGCCATCGAGTTGAGTACGACTGATTTGTGAACAATGAACAAAAGATTTGAACCTAGTCCTGTCCTGTGCCATCCTCACACTTCCTGACACACAGGAGCCCATTGCAGCAGTCACCCTGTCAATCCTTCTGGTTGAAGGTCTTCATCTTCTTCGCCAACCCTCCACCCTTCCCAACATCATGTCCCTCTCTGAAGAATAGTACCTCCTAGCAATATGTTCAAACTATGTAAGGCGAAGCCTCGTCTTTCTTGCCACCAAAGAGCACTCCGGCTGCACTCTCTCCAAGATATATCTGTTTGTTCTCTTGGCCGTCCACGGGATGTTCATTGCTCTTCTCCAACAAAAGGTTGTTTGCATATGATAGTAATATTGCTCATTAAATTCCATATCCTGTTGCATCACCTTTCTTGAGAATGGGAACAAATAGTGATCTCTTCCTGTCATTTGGCCAAGTAGCTGCCCTATAAATTTCCTTTTATAAAATGGTAAGCACATCCAGGGTATGTTAGTTGAAACATGCCTATATGATTTGCAGCTTCTGAAAACATATTGGAGGATCAGCTGTAAGTGTGTTCTGACTGAATGGTACAGGAATAATGAACTCCATAGCTAAGACTGAGTCTATCCTAATCTTTATTTGCCCCTTTAACACCAGGCAACACTTCCATCATATGTTGTGGTATTGGTTAGGTGCCATTGAGTCAACTATGACTTCTGGCAACCCTGTGAACAACAGATCTGAACCTTGCCCTCCCCTGTGACTTCCTCATCATCTCTGATATACTCGAGCCCATTGTTATGGTGACTGTGTCAGTCCATCGTGTTGAAGGCTTTTTTTCTCTCCTTCATTGACCCTTTACCATTGCAAGCGTAATGTCTTTTTCCAAGGAATTGCCCCTCCTAACAACATGCCCAAACTATGTGGGACGTTGTCACCATTCTTGCCTCTTAGGAGCACCCTGTTTGTACTTTGTCCAAGATAGGTCTATTTGTTCTTTTGGCAGTTCATGGAATATTTAGTACTCTTCTCCAGTACCACAGCTCAAAGACAACAGTTTTCTTATGCCATTCTTATTTTACCCAGCTTTCAGATGCATAGCCAGTAGACACTCAGAGTATTTGTGTGAAAGACTTTTTGTCAGACGTGCGTTTGGTACTTGATGTTGTTGTTAGGTGATATCCAGCCCGTTCTGACTCACAGCAACTTTATGTACGGCAGAATGAAGTGGTGCTTGATCTCATGTCATACTCGTGATGCAAGTGAAAGCCACACTGTCAGCCCATCTCATTGAAGGTTGTTTTCTTTTTTTACTGACCTACCTATGTGACATCCTCTTCTGGGGATTGGTCCTTCCTGATAACATGCTTAAAAGATAAGAGTTAGAATCTTGCAGTCTTTGCCATCAAGGAATGTTCTGGCTGTACTCCTGTTTATTCTTTGGGCAGTAATATGGTATGTTCAGTTTTCTTTGCAAACACCATTGTTCTTTTAATCTCCAAATCATCGTCACCATCTTTGCTAATATCATCTTCATTAGTCTTCCTTATTCATTGTCCTGCTTTCTTTTGTATATGCGGCAGTTGATGATTTTCAGACACTTGGGAAATGATAGAGGAACAATAGAAAAAACTTTGGTGTAAAAGAGAGGATTGGTTTTGGCTTTGCAGAATTTGCTATTATGGTAGGAATGCCCTTTAGGTTTTTGAAATAGGAAAATTAGAATTCATTGCCAATACATTGGTTACAATGCATTGTGACTTTAGAGGATAGAGTAGAACTGCCTCATGGGCTTTGAAGGATGTAATCCTTAGACTGCCATATTTTTCTTCTGTGGAAGTGGCTGATTGGTTTGAACCACTAACCTTTTGCTTAGCAGCTGAGTGCTAACCCGAGGGTTAACCTGAATCACCAGGATTCCTGTAAAATGATGATCTCTAACTCATTGCTGTCCACATAGTTCCGACAACCCTCCACCTGGTTTCTGCGATTGTAAACCTTAATGAGGAGAGCCTGCCAATCTTACTTCTGTGGTGTCTCTATGGATTTGGACTTCAGGACATGTGTATCCTTTGATTTAGCAGCACAACACTCTTTGGACTATGCAACCAGAGATCCTATATGGAAATGTAATGAAAGTCAAACTAAAGATAAGGACTAGAGGTGATAAATAGTTAAAGGCTACAAGATTAATGTTCAATATTTAACTGGTAAATAAGTTCTTAGTTGTATGTTATGTTGCAATTCAGATACTTTGAATATTATATTTTGATGATTTAACAAAATTTCATTGTAAAGAGCTACATATTAGGTAAAAACAAAGTATTTTGAGAAAATTCACTGTCAAATCACTGTCATATAAATATGTCCCTAATTTCTCTAGGTTCTGGGAAGTTCTGGATTGTTTAATAACCATGGGCTTCAAGTACAGCAGCAACAGCAAAGGAACCTCGCCCTACATGAATACCTGAGCATGGAATTGCTGCAAGAAGCTGGTATCTCTGTTCCCAAAGGACACGTGGCTAAATCACCAGATGAAGCATTTGCAATTGCTAAAAAATTAGGTACTAAATTGAAAAAAACTCATGCTACCTTGCCCTGGGAAGTTTGCTAAGATACGAACTTTATTTTTGATTCACAGCAATGTTTAACTTTCACCTTTTAAAAAGAAATATTACTCACTAAAAAGAGAAGGTGGAACTTTATAACTAAATTCTAAAATTCTGAAAATGTGGTTAAGTAACAAGTAATTTATTTTCACAGCAGAAAGCAGTCAGCCTGTTTTGATTTTTTTTTTTTTTTAGTCTGAAAATTCTATTTACTACTTTGTGGTGTTAAAGGATAATAAAGGACCCCTGATGGTGTAGTGAGTTAAGCATTGAGTCATTTATTGAAAGGTTGGTAGTTTAAATCCACTAGCCACTCTATGGTGAAAAATGAGGTGGTCTGATTCAGTAAGGAGTCATGCATAGTCGTAGAAACCCTATGGGGCATTTCTTCTCTATCCTGTATGGTTGTTCAGTTCAGCTCATTGCCATTGAGTTGGAACCAACCCAAAGCTGACTCTTCAGTGGTTCTCAAAGGCTGTGAATGTGGGTGATTGCTCACCTTTCTCCTGAAGAGCACCTGGTGAGTTTGAACCTCCTGTGTTTGGGTTGGCAGTGTAACCCCTTACCCATTAAACCACCAGAGCTCCCTAAGTGGTTATTGCAGATAAGAACTGACTTGACAGCTGTGGAGTTGCAGGTGGTGACTACAAATCTCCCTGCTGTCTAGTTGATTTCTACTGATACCCACTCTGTAGTTCGGTGTAGAATGGCTTCATAAGGTTTCCAAGGCCACAGCTTTCATGGAATCCCACTGCACTGTCTGCTTTGGAGCTGCTGGTGTGTTTGAACCACTTTCATTACTAGGACACCCGTGCTCCTTGTAACTGTTCAGGGAAATGATGAAGAAAGGACATCTTAGCTGTCCATATGGTTGTAAAGAGAGGTCTCATATTTTGACCCTTTCTGACAACAGTGCTCACTTTCTAACCTGAGTCAGAACTGAGCTACATGTGGGCCAGACTATTGATTTCCTGTCATACTGGGGAGACAGGGAAGGTCACAACCACTGAGACTTCCTGCTGATTCACTGCCTCTGAAATAACTTCAGATATTTTCCCTAGTGTGCCATACAGAGTTTATAATTTTCATATGTGTCGTGATGTGAAAAAAATTGAGATTCACCACACTGGAGGCAAATTTTACCTGTTGTGAATAATTGAGGTTAGAAATGGAGGCATGGTTAAACAAACCCAAAAATAATTCTAAAATTTTTAAAAGATATATAAAGCGTGTAAGAGCCTACAAAATGATCAGCTGGAAAATTATGGAGTGATTTTTCAATTAGATGATTGGTAAGTACAGAGAAGTGAAATAGTTATATTTGAGGTTAGTGTTAAACAGCACGTTACTCTTACTGCTACTAGATAAGGGAAATATGATATCAGTAATGCAATTGATGAAATGTCTTAAATTTTTTGTAGAAATGTTGCTTTGACTCTGCTGCAGTGAAAGTTAAATATCCAGTTGGGTAAATATATGCAAATAGTGCTGACTAACGTGTTAGCCTTGAGAGAGATTTTTTTTTTTTAAAATTTTATTTTATTATTTTTGTGTGCATGTACCGTCAAATCAGATCTGACTGGTGTAGGAGGAGATTGTCCCTCCTTACTCGGCAGAGCATCTGGTGGATTCGAACCGTTCGCCTCTGGGATTGTAGTTGCAGCTCCTTGCCACTAGGCCAC